CCTCGGGGGCCTGTCGGCACCCCAGCTCCCACTGCCCTTCCTCCTCCTCTTCCTGGGCCCCGGCTGGACGTGGTTCTGCAGTGAAGATGTTCTCGTACAGATGCTCAGGGAGCGGCTTCCCCACGGCCCAGGGCTCCCCAGAGCCTGGCTGCCCTGACACAAAGAGGGGCTGTTGGCCCCGGGCGATGGAGGCATAGATGATGGGGCATGAGGCCTCTGGCTCTGGTGAGGTGAAGTGGAGAAGGTTTGCAGGGGGGTGGGAGGCAGGCTGTGTCCCCCCCAGGGCTGAGCTGGGCTGGGGATCATCATTCCCAGGCCCCCAGGGCTGGGGCTCAAGGCTCTGTGCAAAGAGCTGGGGCTCTGAGACACAGAAGAGTCTGGGCTCCAGGGTGTCCTTGCCCTGATGCTGGCAGGCAATGGCAGCAGCCACAGCCCGGCAGAGCTCAGGGGCCCGTGGGGTGCTGAAGGTGAAGGTGCCCTCGCCGGAGTCACTGCGGCGGCCAGCCTCGAAGGAGAAGACAGCCTGCAGGGTCAGATGGGAGAGTGAGGGGCTGCCACCCACCCTGGGCAGGCAACAGCCCCAAGAAGGGAGTGGGAGACTCACCTGATCCTGGCCAAACTTGCGAAGGAAGGGGTAGGGCCAGGTGAGCAGGGGCTGGCGGGACTGGGGGTCCTTCAGCGTCAAGCTCTGGGGAAGGGCTGAGAGCAGGTAATGCCCGTGCAGCCCACAGCGGGTGGCTGCGTCTGTCTGGACCACCAGCACCAAGAATTCAGTCACTGTGGGAGCCAAACAAGCCAGGGGTCAGCACTGCAGCACTGAGCTGCAGCCCACCCCAGCCCTCTTCACCACCCCTGCACATACGGTCCTGCCAGGACGAGTAGAGAGAGTTCTCCTCCATGGGGACAGCGGGGCTGAGCTGGGTCCTGGCACTACTCGGCACTGTCTCTTTTCCACCCTGAAACAAAGGGATGTGAGTATGACCTGGGACAGAAGTGGGGGGAGCACAAATCCCCTGCCTGCCCTGGAGCTTCCCAGCTCACCCAAGTCGGGCTCTTGGCTCTGCCAGACCCCTTGGTACCTGGAAGGCCAGCTGGCAGAGCTGGGTGATCCATTCATCGCGCTGCTCGGCTGCCAGCACATAGCTCTTCTCTGTGGTGGTGAGGTAGAAGGCAGCGGTGGCTTTGGGGCAGCTCTGGGTGCCCGCCGGGCCCACAGAGACGCAGTCAGAGAGGCGGATGACGCGGCGGGCACAGCACTGCAGGGACACCTTCTCTGGGACCGTGCCATCATCCCGCACGTCAAACTTCTCCATGCGGGCCACGCCAGACGGGCTGGCAGCAAACAGCTGGGCTCGCATCTTCCTCCAGGACCTCTATGCATTAAAAGCGCAAAGGCAGGGAAAAAACAGGTCAGCAGAGCTGGCTGCTGCATCTGGCAGCTCTGCCCTCCATACAGGGCACGAGGGGCACAGGGGAGTCCCAGCCCACACCTGCCAGGTGTTGTTGGAGGGCACCGAGAACAAGGGCCAGCAC